TCTTCTTAATGACTTTTTGCTTTCTTCATGTATCATGTTCTTGATGTCATCCCACAACTCTTCTGGTCTTTGGTCTTTAGTGTTTAATGTTCCAAATCTGTTTTTCAGATGATCTCTCAATTCATTTAGTATATATTCAAGGTCATATTTTGGCTCTCGTGGACTTGTTTTCATGTTCTTCAACTTCAGTTTGAATTTGCACATGAGTAATTTATGGTCTGTTCCATTGATGATATGGAGCTTTCTCATCGTCTCTTCGTCAGTTTTATTTCTTTTTATTTCTTTTTGTTCCGTCTGTTGGTGTAGGTATTTTTTATGCTGTCTTCATTGGTTTTTTGGAATTCTCTCATGCTTTGTTTTGCATCATTTTTTTCTGTGATGTCCTGTTTCCTTTCTATTGCTCCTTCCCTTTTTTTCCCCTACTGCTTTTTCCTCTTTGTTCCTGATCTTTGCATTTTTTTTTTTTTTTTTGATCAATACATCTTGATTGCATGTTTGATCAATTTCAGATTGAAGAAGTTGGTAGAATTCTTCTATTTCATCCTCACTGGCTTTAGTGGTTGGTGTGTAAATTTAAATAATAGTGGTATTAACTGGGCTTCCCTGTAGGCACATGGATGCTATCCTATCACAGACAGCATTGTACCTCATGACTGATCAGGATATGTTCTTTTTGACAATGAATACAACACTATTCCTTTTCAATTTGTCATTTCTGGCATCATGTGGTCATCAAATTTAAAATGGCCAATACGAGTCAATTTTGGCTCACTAATGCCTACAATATTGATGTTTATGTGTTCCATTTCATTTTTGACAACCTCCAATTTTTCCTGATTCATACTTCACACATTACATGTTCTGATTTTCAATGGATGTTTACACCTGTTTCTCCTCATTTTAAGTTGTGCCCCATCAGCAAATAAAGGTCACGTGGGCTTTTCTCCCATTGGCTTTACTCCATTCGCATCATCACAGTCAACTCTACTTTGAGGAGGCAGCTCTTCCCCAGTCGTATTTTGAGTGCCTTCACTGTATCTGACAGTGTTTCTCTGTTATTCATGAGGTTTTCAGTCACTAAATATTCAGAAGTAGTTCATCACTCTTTCTTCCTAGTCTGTCTTCATCTGGAAATTTATCTGAAACCTGTCCACCATGGGTGACCCTGCTGGTATTTAAATACTGGTGGCATAGCTTTGAGAATCACAGCAACTCACAAGCCACCACAGTGCGACAAACTAACAGACGAGTGGTGGCAATACAGCATTAATAGCCCAAAATTGGAAACAACTCAAAAGTCTATCAAATAACAAATGGATAAATTAAAGTAGTATATCCACACAATATTATTCAGCCATAAATGAAATGAAATTCTTATACATGCTATACCAAGGATGAACTTTGAAAGCATCATGCTAAGTGATAGTAGCCAGACACATATTGTTAAGGTTTCATTTATATAAAATGTCCAGAATAGGCAAATCCATAGAGACAGAAAGCATATTCAGTGGTTGCCAGGGACAGGAGAAGAGGGAAATGGGCTGCTTAATGGTTATGGGGTTTCGTTTGGCAGGATAACTAGGCAGGAAAATGAAACAAAAGTCATTCCAGAAAGGACGACCTATGAAATGTTCTGGAATTAAGTAGTGGTGACAGTTGGATGACATTGTGAATGCACCAAAAACCACTGAAATATATCCTTTATAATGGTTAAAATGGAGAATTTTATTTTATGTGAATTTACAGAAAAGTTTTCTGACAAACTGCTGTGATATGAGTTGTATGTCATTTTAAATTCCTCATGTCCAACAACCCTCTGTTACTCATTTGAAACATTTTATTAAATGTTTTTAATCATCAAAAATGATTTCCATCATTTTGGACATGGTGACTAAAATCTCAGATATAACGGCAGGAAAAGAAGACTCCAGAAGTGTGTAAAATGGTCACTTTTTCTGTTATTTCAATAACAGTATTTCTCAATGCTTGAAGACTATTATGATCTAGTTGATCAAAATGGAGTCTATCAAATCAAGTAACTTTTTTTCCATTTTCACTTTATCTGATTTTAGTTAATTAAGACATTAAACCAATTATGTTTTCATTACACCTGTGTGTCTGGATAACACAATCTATGTGAAGCTTTCCCCTCGTGGCTACTTCATAGTTTGTATTCTGAGTTTAAATTAACTACTGGGGAGAGCTTCTTCTCTTTAAAAATAACTTTTACTATTATTTTTTAATGTTTGCTCTTTATAAAGCATTTGGAAACTACAGAAAAAGTGACATCATATTATATATTCTATTGTTGCTTTTGTTTTTGAAATTGAATCTTTAATGCAAGTTGGGAACTCCACCATCCAAAATCATTTACTTCAACTTTCAATTATGTAGAAAAGGTCTGAGTATGTAGACACTGGGAACATTTAGAGTCAAATGGACCTAGACTTAAGTATTGGCTCTGCCATTTACTAGATGTGTGACACGGGTCAAATTACTTCGTTAAATCTCAGTTTACTTACCTGTCTGGATGGGTGGGCGACTAAACTGTCATACCAAACTCACAGGGCAAATTTGTTAGGGTCAAATGAGGTAATGCGCACAAAGCCCTTAACAAAAAGCCTAGTATGTAAGCATGATGGGAAGGGCGGAATAATGTTTGTCAGTCTCTGATGTGCAGGAAGCTAGGCAAAAACCAGCATTCAGTGCATTAATAATATTCTCTGCAAGTCAGTGACTTAGATTCTTTATACACCTTTAGGAACGGTGTGCCTTCAGAAGGATTATGGCAACTCTAAGGTACAAATTTGGTTGAAAGTATTAAATCCCATAGCCAAAAAGCTATCAAAGAAATGTTTTAAAATACTGATTAAATTTTGAGTGCCACAGAACAATAATTTGTAAAAGTTCTCTCAAAGTGAGTTAAGAGAAAAAGTGAAAGTCAAGGTTAAATACATGTTGAAAAGTTACCAAAAATATAAACTTAATAACATACATAATCTTTTTTTAAAAAAAAGCTTAGCACATAAGGGCTCAATGAATATTACTTATTATTAACCTTAAAACAGTTTCTGGAACATAACAGTTACTCAATAAATTTGAGTTGAAGGAAAGCATGTGATTGCTTACTTGTTGTATTGATGGAATTGGTTGAGACCATAGTTAGGGGAGGAGGAGGAACATACTGAAGTGAAAATGGTTCAGAAGAACTTATTGGAAAGGAACTGCAATATGACAGAACAGAACCCTGAAATATTTTGTGAGTATCTGGCAATATGATAGTATGTATATAACAGCTTTTATCTGCACTGTCAGCCATACTTCTTAAGAAGAGGCTTGATAAGGAGGTATGTGTATGCCTATATTTATAATTGGCTATGTCATATGACATAGACATATGGTTATATCTATGCCTGTATTTCGGGCTGCTAACCACAAGGTCAGCAGTTCAAAACTGCCAGCTGTTCCAAGGGAGAAAGATGAGGCTTTCTGCTCCTGTTAAGTTTTACAGCCTCGGAAACCCTGTACAGGGTCACTATGAGTCGGAACCGACTCCACGGCACATAACAACAACAACTTGCCTATATTTGGAGTCCTGGTGTGGCGCTGTGGGTTAATGCGCCAGACTGTTACTGCAAAGCCGTTTGAACTGAAAGATGGGCGGTTCAAGCTCATCAGCTGCTCCTCGGAAACCCTATACAGGGTCGCTATGGGTCAGGATCAACTCAATGGTACTTAACAACAACAACAATGCCTATATTTATAACTAAGGCGCTCTGGTAGCATAGTGGTTAAGAATCGGGCTGCTAATCTCATGGTCAGCATTTTGAAACTACTAGCTGTTCCGCGGGAGAAAGATGAGGCTTTCTGCTCCCGTAAAGATTTACAGCCTCAGAAACCCTCTACAGGGTCGCTATCAGTCGGAACCAACTCCACGACACATAACAACAACATTTACAACTGGCATCCTGATGTGGCGTTGTGGGTTAATGCGCCAGACTGCAAAACTGTTTGAACTGCAAGGTGGCCGGTTCAAGCTCACCAACGGCTCCTTGGAAACCCTATACAGCGTCGCTATGGGACAGAACTGACTCGACGCCACTTAACAAGAACAACAACTATTTATACCTAGACTCTGCATTCCTTCAGGGTAATTTTTGCCTTCTTCCCACGAAACACTTAACAAATTTTAAGCATTTAATAAGCGTTTCAATTATAGCCTCAATATCTATTTGTTGGATGATTAAATTTATACATGAGGAGTTACTATGCTTCCCACCCCCCACCCCCAATAGGGATGCTCTCTATGACCTTTTTGTTGCAGCACTATTTTTATTTATCTAATATTTACATCTGATTCTTGCAAAAAATGATTTTAAGCAGCCTTCAGTGTTATTGACTGCACAAGATAAAAATAATTAGGTAATCGGGAAAGAATATGGCCGCTTAAAATAAGCTTCCTAGCAGACATTACAAAGAGAGTTAATAGCACAATTCACATTGCCCATATGAATCTAAACAAACCAATTACGTTGTTATTTCAATTACTGAAAGTAGAATCTTTCCTTTGATTGCTAATAAAATCACTGCTTTTAATATAATAAATTGCCTTCAAGAATATTCTATATGAAATGTAAAATAAGGTTAATTTCGTATTGCAACTCTCAATATAGTTTCATGGTTGAAAGCTGTAGCGAAGATCGGTGGATGGAGTCTAAAAGAAATGAAAATTATTTTGTCTAGGTTTGAAGCTCTGGTAATCTAATTTAAGTGAAAAAAAAAAACGAGAGGTGTCTTCCAGAAATATTCCTTACAATTAAATTTAGATTGAGCGTTAAAAGTAGAGACCTACGACGGTAATCTCTAACAGACATCTGGAATTCCGCTAAAATTATCTCTATGTCTTTAAGGAAGACTTCATTTTAGGAAATTTCTAGACACCAACCCCCCAAGTCATGTGACTGAATAGGACGCCATTATACCGCCCCAACAAGTGGATCATGGAGTACCTAGAGGGAGAGGCTCCTGATCCGTCAGAAAATAATTCAGTACCAACAGCTTCAACATCAGAAGAACCAAGCTACCAAGTTGCTCAAGTTCCTGTCACCCAAGACACCCAAATTGCCTACAACGACGGCACTGAAACTGCCTGCAAACGTGATACCGAAACAGCCGAAGTTGCCAGCGACCATGGCACCCAGATTCCTGTCGACCATGGCACCCGAGTTCCTATCGATGAAGGCATCCAGATTCCTGGAGACCAGATTCCTGTTAGCGAAGTCGCCCAGGTTCCTGGCACCCCGATTCTTGTAGACCCTGGCGTCCAGGTTCCCGGCGCACAGATTGCCGTCTATCAGGGCGCCCCAACGGATGCCGGCAGCGGTGCCCAAGCTGCTGCTCAAACCTCTGGGGAAAACATACCAAAAGGCAACGGTAAGTGGCTTCAAATATTTTCACCAACTGAGGCACCTCTTTGGGACAGGTGAACTCCCTACTAGACGTTTGTTTGGACTGCAACAATTTTTAAGAAAAACAAGCTGAGTAACATGTGCCCCTTTCCACGAATGTAAAGTAGTGACTACTGAGGAGAGGGTTGTGGCAAATTCTCTAAGTCTCATTGCTTTGTCCACAGGCGAGGTTGCCTCACTAAGGTAAAACTCGGTCCACGAGAATGCATTTAACGGGTAATTAAATGAACTGTCTTGGTATATGTAAGGAGTCATGGTGGCACTGTGGGTTGGTTAGGTGTTGGGCTACTTTGAACCCACCAGCCACTCCAGGGGAGAAAAATGAGGCTATATGCATTTGTAAAGATCAACGGCATCAGAAGCCTTAAAAAGCAGTTCTACCCTGACTTATAGGATCTCTAAGATTCGGAGTTGAAGTGATGCCATGGGCTGAGTTTGATTTGGGTTTGGTACAAGTGTCGCTGTAGAGATACGAGTAGACTGGACGATGGCTCCTGGGTGGAAGTGTTGTTATTAAGTACCGTGGAGTCGGTTCCGACTCATAGTGACCCTGCACAGGGTTTTTCCGAGGCTGTAAATCTTTACGGGAGCAGAATGCCTCATCTTCTCCCGCGGAGCCGCTGGTAGTTTCGAACTGCTGACCTTGAATTTGGCAACCCGACTCATAACCACTTCGCTACCAGACCTCCTTGCTAAAGCTTAGGTCTGGTTTCTTGAAGCCCCCTAAAGCTCCTCCCCTGGGCTATAAGAACGAGGTTCAACCTTCCCCCTAGCCCCCCGCGTGCCCCGCCCGCTGGCCAGCGACTCGAGGCTGCCAGCCACAGCCTAGGCGCTTCCGTGGGTGGGCAGGCTACAGGGGCGTGGCGAGGCGGGGCTGGACTGATCGAGTGCCGCTGCTCTTACCTGTGATCGCGCAGTCTCCTCACCGCTCGCTCCTTGCCCACTTGACACTGACCTCCGTCGTCTGTCCCGAGCCCACTCACTCCCCACCCGGAATTTACAGTACAGAGAGGCGGGCTTCGGTCCGTACATCCTTTCTGGACCTGGCGCGAATTAGCAAAGGAGCTGGTGAGTTGGTGGGTCTGGAGGGTGACCCTGGAACCCCGGGCGGCGTTGCATGGCAGCGCACTGCGCTTTCCATCTCCAGCCCGCCTGGGAGGCAAGGCGCGAAGGACAGGGTTCTTTGACCCCTACGGAGGTTTTCAAGGGACAAGGGATCAAAGCCTGGAAAGCTGGACACTTCCCTTGAACATTTAAAACCCTCCGGGAAAGGATGGAGTGGATATTTCCTCCAAACCTCAGCCAGGGGCTCTAAACTTGAGAAAACAGAGACTTAGACTTGTGCTGCCAGGAGCATGCTGCAGGCATCCTCCAGTTAGTTCATTAGTATAATTCTGCTAAAACTGGGGGTGAGTTGGGGAGGTTGGTCTTGTTCATTTAATTAGGGATCAAGAGTGCTTACTGGGAAAAAAAGTGGATACCATTTATTTAAAATAAGCTGTATACAGCCAGTTCTTTGGGCAAATGCAGATAACAGATTTTAAAAAGAAATAAAATTCATTTCAACAAGTGCTGCCCACCTGCTCTGAAAGCAGATCTTTTATTAGGGAGGTTTACAAGCAGATACTATGAAATAGTGTAATTTTTTACTTCCTTTTTTTCATGAGAGGAGTTGTTCAAAAGGTATTGAAATGATCAAAATGCCCTAGTCTTAGTTCTGCTGAGAAATCTAAAAGTTACTACTGCTGTGATAAAAGTCTTGCATAGCAGTTAGTTCTTCAAATCCCTGTTTCTGCTCCCAGTCTAAGTGTTTGGTACTCTGCTCCGTTAGACAATGTGCCCAGCTCCAGGATTTTTATTTAATTTTCTTTATTTTAATTATTTTTTTCCTGATGTTTGTGTTTAGTGTTTTCTTATGTGTGTGTGTTTTGTTTTTATATTTCTATATAATTGTATGTAGGTATGTATATAGCTATGGAACAAGGGGAGAAAAATTACTATCACAAACAATGTATTTGTGATTCTTTCTTTCACAGATAATGTGTTTGTGATTTTCATTCTTTCTTTCAGTTCTTGAGTGTATGCTTTTCCACTGCAAACCGTGGATCTCTATACTCTTGTGAACGTTTCTGAAGCCATATCAAGGGACTGAAATTATAATTGGTGAATGATTTCACATTTGAATGTGTTAATAAAAAATGGGGAAAAAAACACACAAAAAGGTGATCCTAAGTGAGATTCAAATTCAGACCTGAGAGCAGAGCCTTTGAGTCCAGTTAATGATTTGCCAAGTACCACGAAGTATTAACTGAAGTTTTTAATTTAAGGTATAAGATTTTATAACTTGTATAGCCTACTGCCTTAAGAAAACGATCAGGTTTCATATTTGTACATTGCTTTCTTTCCACCTTTACAAAAAATCTTCATCTGAAGAGGTGTGGATTCTAATATACAAAGTGTGAGCCACTACAGATGCATCCCAAATGGATTAATCACTTGTCAGAATATATATATATATATATATGGCTCTAAGAATTTCTTTATATAGATAGGTTTTAGGGGTATTTCTAATAAGCGGTGGTTGTGAGGATTGAATGAAATAATAAACCTAACATAGGTAGGATAAGGCCCGGATAGAATGCATGTAGTAAATGTTAGTAATGAACAAATCATATCAGATTTTAAATTCCATACTCCTTTAGGAAGAAATCTGTTGCATGAAGTTATATATATTTAAACAGACTAGCCATAAGAACTAGACTCCTAACTTTGCTCCGAGGTAGCTCAAAATTCTTTGATGCTGGCTTACCCATAATGCTTAATCCCTACCAATCCATTATGGTTATTGAAATGTTGAAAATTAAGCTCTTGTTTCCTTCTAATCAGGACAAAACATTTCTGCAAGTGGTTTCTGGGTTGATTTCAGTCTTTGGTTAACAGTCATCCCTGCCGAGGCTGTGTCATTTGCTTAAATAGCCACCTCTTATGTTGAATTTCAGTCCTTTATCTGAGGGTCTAAGAATATCATTAAGAAGACTAAATCATGTTTCATGACAGCTCTTGCCTCATTTGACATACATGGTTAATTGCAAAAGAATTCTATCATTTAACTTGGGTTAACTTTGGAAAAATGTTCAGCTGTTGGAGGGAAAATAAGGCGACTTTTAGTAGTAAGTATGTCAAACAAGATATATCAGAGATGTACACACATAATCTCCAATGAGGAGACTGGGCAGTGTCCATAATTTAACTAGTACTAAGGAGCTCTGTAGCGTAGTGGTTACAAATCAGGCTGCGAACCGCAAGGTCATCAGTTTGAAACTACCAGCTGCTCCGCGGGAGAAAGATGAGGCTTTCTGCTCCCGTAAAGATTTACAGCCTCAGAAACCCTGTTGAGGGTTGCTATGGGTAGGAACCGACTTGACGGCACTTAACAACAACAACAAAAACCTGGTGGTGCTGTAGGATAAGCACTGGACTGCTAATCATAAGATTGGTGGTTCAAACTCACAGCTACTTCTTGGAAACCCTATACAGGATCACTATGAGTCAGAATGACTGGACTGCACTGAACAACAACAACCAGTAGTGTAAGAAGCCCTGGTATTATAGTTGTTAAGCACTCGGCTGCTTACCAAAAGGTCTGAGGTTTGAACCCTCCAGTCACTCCATGGTAGAAAGATGTGGCAGTCTGCTTCCATAAAGATTTATAGCCTTGGAGCCCTATGGGACAGTTCTATGGAGTTGCTATAAATCGGCAATGAGTTTAATTTTTGTTTTAAACTTTATTTGGATTTGAGTGAAAGTTTACAGAGAATATTGGTTTTTCATTGAACAATTCATACATATTTTGCTTTATGACATCAATTGTAGTTTACACAATGTAACAGCACTTTTCCCATTTTCCTCCTGTGTTTATTGTTTTCATTCCTTCTACTTTCCTAACCCTTCTGCCTTCTGAGCTTTATCCCTGAGCAAATGCTGTCCTTTTGATCTCCTATGGTTGATTGTTCTAAGGAGTACATACCTCCCTGGTGTTATTGTTCACCCTATAGGTCTATTGTTTGGCTGCAAGTTGAGAATAGAAATACTGTTTGATCCAGCAATTCCAACAGATATATGCATACAGCATTATTCGTAGTAGTAAAGAGATGTGTGACATTAAGGAATAACGAAGAATTTGCAAAACACCTTATAATGTGGATGAACCTGGAGGGCATTATGCTGAGTGAAATAAGCCAATCACCAGAGAACAAATAGTGTATGAATCCATAATTATAAAAAGTCAAGGAAAGGTTAGTTACATACAGAAAAAAAAAAAAGTTGTTTTTATGGTTATCAAGTATTGGAGTGTAAAGGAGGAAAAGTAAAATCACTAACTAGGTAACAGATATCTTAATTTGGGTGAGGGGACAGAGAATATACAATAAGGGGGTGATCAGCACAAGAGTTGCAGACAACAAAGGTAAATGCTATTACATATACAATCCTGCATTATCAGTAATAACAATCTACACATGGACACATAGGCAGAAAGGCAAGATGAGCAGGCGAAAGGAACTACAATCATGACCATAATAGGTTTGGCAGATGATATTTCTACATATGTTTTTGTATGTGCTGTAAATAAATCCAATTTGGTGGTAGAATAAATAGGGGGCAAAGGTATGCAAACTTCTTGGCCATAATCAAACATCTTGAGGGAATGAGTTACTGGGCCATAATCACACACCTTGAGGGAATGAGATTTAGGATCATAGTTGCAGAGGACAAATAATGTAGTTCACAAAGACAGTGTCCCACATCCTACTTTGGTGAATAACGATGGTGATGGTGCTTATTGTGCCATGGAGTTGGTTCCGACTCATGTGCAGGGTTTCTGAGGCTGTAAATCTTTACGGGAGCAGAAAGCCTCATTTTTCTCCTGTGGAACAGCTGGTAGTTTCAAACTGCTGACCCTGAGGTTAGCAACCCAATTCCTAACCACTAAGCTACCAGAGCTTCTGGTGAATAGCAATAGAAGACTTAAAACTTGCTAGCGGGTTTGATTTTGACTATCAGTGGTCAGCAGAGGGAGCAAGAGAAGTTTTTAGTGACTCATTTTTGTTGTTGTTTTTGTTTTCATGAACCCCCCAAACAAGAGATGAGTGAAAGCCCGGATGAACCACCTCACGATATTGAAAACCAGTTTATATTGCGTCTGCCTGCGGTAAGAAACCCTTGCACCAAATATTTTCAGGGCATAAATATTAGTTGTGCTTGGATTCTGTTAACATTTCCATTTATAAAACATTTATTTCCATCTATAAAACTCAAATCATGTTGTATTAAGCAGTTTTATCAGTGTGTACTTTTTTAGCTGCACATCTTTCATCCTATACATACCACCTATCATGTGGGTTGACTTCCTGGCAAATGATGGAGAAAGCTGAATTCAGTCACTTATCACTGAATAGCTAAGACAAGCCTCTTATAAAATCCTTTCTATATCCTCAAAAGGGGAAGTGAGAAAGACTAGTACTGTGTCTCTTGAAAATTCATCATTATGCACAACTTTGTTGAAGTTCATCTCAGCATTTTGTTAGAATATCTTCCCCCCACTGATCTATATACCCAAGCATTACTGAGTCTAATTAAGCTATATTAGGGGTGGAGTTCAAAAACCTATTTCCCCAATTAGGTTTAATTAATATACCCAGCATACTGCAGCTACATCTCTCCTTAGCAACTACAACTGAAGGAGAGCATTGAGAGGCAGGAATGTAGAGCTTGGAGAAGTCATTAACTGTAGCTACTAAAAGACCAACAGTAGGATAAGACTCAGTATCGTGCTAACTTGATGTGGACAATACATGATATTTGATGGTACATGGCATCTTTATAAAGGTTTGAGTAGTTATAAGTTTTAATATAAGAGAGAGCTGTTAGCTGCCAAGTAGGCAATTCATCCTTCTGATTCTCTTTATTTATCTCCTTTTTAGGAACATGCTGCTACTGTCAGGAAGCTTCTAAAAGGAAGCTCTAATAGCATTGCCATGAAGGATAAACTAAAAATTGACTTAAATCGTAAGTTGTTAATATGAATTCACTACACATTGAACAATAATTTATTAAGAGACTACTATGTGCCAGACAGTACCTAGGTACTAAGGATGTGAAAAAGAATAGAATTTGATCTTCACCTTCATGAGCTGACAGTTTACAGAGGTATAAGTTACTGTTACCTCTTTACTTAAGAGGAAAGGATGTAAGAGTTTGCAACTTGAGGGTGAGTAATTATCATAATAGAGTATAAGGAAGAACTTGAGGGGCAACTGTGGAATTTTCATATTGCTGATGGTCTCCTACTCTATAAGGGGGCTTTAAAAAGTTCATGGGAAAGTGGTATTAAATGATAATGGAAGTTTTTGAAGAACTTTTTAAAGCCCCTTTTGTGATTTCTGACTTCCAAGTCAAATCAATCTTTTAATAATGAATAATTAATTAATATATTATTTGTTTACAAAGACAAAGTTTTGTTCTTGCTTTTAAATAATATTTATTAAGTTTTATAAATACAGACAATTATATAAAGAAAAGAACAAAAATGACACATAATCCCACCACTTAAATAACCCCTACTGACAAGAAAGGAGCCCTGGTAGCCTAGTGGGTTACAAGCAGGGCTGCTAACTACAAAGTCAGCTGTTCGCATCTAACAGGTGCTCCGTAGGAGACAGATGAGGCTTTCTGCTCTCGTAAAGATTTACAGCCTCAGAAATCCTCTGCAGGGTCGCTATGAGTCAGAACTGACTACACAGCACATAACCACTACCACCACTGACATTGAAAAAAAACAAGGCAATACAAAATTATCATTAGAAAATTCAAATAAAACAAAGGCTCAAAAGGAGAAGCAAAACTCCTCCTTCACAGTATGTCAGTCTCAATGCCAATGTCAAATAATGTTAACTATTTTTATTGTGTTTCCTTACAGGCAAAACTTGTATGCATAATACCATCATTTCTATCATTTCTCTATATTTTTAAGTGAGTTTACACAAAAAGGATCATGCCAGGCATTGTTCCGCATCTTTTTCCCTTAATGTGCCAAGGCAACTCCTAAATCCTCTTCTGTTTAACAACATTCATGTTTGAGATATCTGAATGGGAATATGGCAGTTGTATAGAGTTTATCTTTGTGATTTTATCCAGAGATTACAATCTGACACTCATTTGCACCATTCTAGGGTCAGTTTTCCCCTCACTCAACCAAATGTGTATTAACATGGGTTGAATGCATCTAATGGTATTGAAATGAATGAATTGGTCTATGTACAGGTTCCTCATAAGCACAATGAAGATCCCAAAAGCTTTACTCAGTTCATGTCATCAATGTCAATTTAAGGAGGCAGTCATATTTTGAGTGCCTTCCAACCTGGGGTACTCATCTGGCATTGTATCTGACAATATTTTGAAGTTCTTCATCATGTTTTCAGTAGTCAATATTCTGGTGTTTATCTGACTGTTCCACTGCTATTCAGAAGTTTTCAGTGACTAACTCTTAGGAAGTAGTCCATCTTTCCATCTTCCTAGTCTGTCTTTGTCTGGAAGCTCATCTGAAACCTGTCTACCATGAGTAACCCTACTGGTATTTAAAATACTGTTGGCATAGTTTACAGAATCTCAGCAACATGAACGCCACCACAGTATGACCAACTGACTGACTAGTGGTGGTCAACCAAACCTGTAAAAACTATTATATTACAAATCTGAGGTACATATGATGGTTCCTACTGGTAGCGAGCTGCGAACCTTAAGGTCAGCAGTTCGAAACTACCAGCCGCTCCGCGGGAGAAAGATGAGGCTTTCTGCTCCTGTAAAGATTTACAGCCTCGGAAACCCTGTACAGGGTCGCTATGGGTCAGAACCGACTTGATGATGGCACTTAACAACAACAACAGTAACAAAGGGGCACTAAACTACTTTGCAACACACATCAAAACATTATTATGATGTTAAATGCGTTTTAATGTAACTGGGAGTATTTCTTTGATGTTTTTTATGCATAGTAAGGCATGCTGTTGTTGTTGTTAAGTGCTGTCTAGTCAGTTCTGACTCACAGTGATCCTGTAAAGGGTTTTCAAGGAGCAGTTGGTGAGCTTGACCTACCCACCTTGCGGTTCAAAACGACCTTGTGGTCCAAACCGACCTTGCAGTCCAGTGCGCATTAACCCACGGTGCCACACCGGGACTCCTGTATACTAAGACAAACATGTGAATAACTGAGGTTAGATATGAACCATACCGAACTGTGCCAATTTATGTACAGATTAAAGACTGACTTCGAATGGACCACCATCGTAATCTGGGGACTGCCTGTACTTTTGAACGAGTGACATAAACTAGGAAAAGAGAGAACCAAATAATCTACCATCTGGGAAGTTACTGATTATGTAGATAATGTTAACATTATGAACAATAATAGTTTTCACTGAAATACTAGTATGTCCCACAGAAGTCTTCATTATTCCAACCCTAAGATTAGGTTTAAGAAGGAGCCCTAGTAACATAATGGGTAAGCAATTCTAATTCACCAGCCACTCCATAGGAGAAAGGTGAGTCTTTCTGCTCATAGGACCCAGTATGGGTCCTATGAGTCGGAACCAACTCAATGGCACATAGCAACAGGAGGAAGAGGCTTCAGAGTTCATTGGGACAATGTCAACTTTAATCTTCTCTATTTCTCCTTAGCCGATACACGTCAGGCAGTTGTTGAGATAGAAGATGTCTCACTAACTGCTAAGCTGGTTGACTTGCCCTGTGTTGTTGAAAGCTTTAAATCTCTTGATAAAACAGCCTTTTATAAATCAGCAGATATTTCCCAGGTATGGTTTACTTTTCTTAATCTACTAGCTCTCACATCCTTCAAGTTTTCTTTCTTTCTCCTGGTCTTTCCTTCAGTGCTCCTTTCCATTTGGTAAGTGGCTGCTTGTGGTTGCTAATTTCCAGATTGATTGTGCAGGAATAAAATGTCATGTTCTGGTTTGGTGTTTAATCCTTAACTTTTCACTACTTTATTTTATCCAAATAGCTTGTAGAGTCCTCTGTTTGCTGTTCATAGTGACTTTCATTAACTGAAAATATGACCTGCCGGAATCTTCTTCTGAACTTTCTACTAAAGCAGTATGCTGTTAACTTTGGAACTTTAAATTGGTTCTTATTCATCACCTCTGCTGTTGTTTTCTTGTTTCCTCTCTAAATCAAAATGCCAAGATACATGTTGTCAACATATTCTCTCTGAAGTGGTAAGCACTTTAGCTGAAAAAAAAAAAAATTCTAAGTCCATATAAAATGTTGGCTTACAAAAAGAGGGGGAGAGGATGAGAAGGAGGGCGGAAAGAGAGAGTGAGTGAGTGAGTGTGTCTTTATGTCTTACTTGGTTTTCTGGAAATGCCAAGTATCATCCTCTTTACTATCTTATGCCCCAGGACTTCTGGTGGTAGAAATGAGCATGTTCTATTACAATGCCAAGATTGGAACCATAGTCAACTTCTTTGCCTTTGTTAAATATAGATGCTCGTGTGCAGTGCTGCTCCTGTTCATCATTCTCCTCCAGAAGAACCAGTTACTTCTACTGATTTAAAAACTATCAGGAAAAATGAGGAGAGACAGAAAAAACCTAACTGGAAACATGGCAGTAAGTCACCAACTCCTTGGTCATTCTGGCTAACTATGGTTATCTCCTGAATCTTGACGACTTGTGAACCAGGGACTTATCACATAGACGCTTGGTTCATTAGGTTCCCAGACCCTGTTAGAGAAGAGTCCTGTCTTGAGTTAGTGGCTTATAGCATGAACTTCCTCTTTATCAAATTTCAGATAGATCTGTGGCTACCATCAGTTATATATACATATCACCATGTTATATTTGTTTTAGTTACTCCACCACTGAAGAATGTCAGGAAGAAAAGATTCCGGAAAGTAACCAAAAAGGTCAGTTGCTTGGTACATATGTATTTGTTGGGTGGATTGGGAAATTATGAGATGGATGGAAAAGAAGTAAGTCAGTTGAGGATTAATTAATTTGTTCACTCATCCATGTGTTCAGTGAATATATTGAGAATGAACTAAGTGGCAGACACTATGTTCTAGCATTTGGGAATATAACCAGTGAGCAAAAATAAACCTGATTCTTGAGGTATAGGCTTATCATTCAGGTAACTGGAACTGTCTTGAATTTTAAATATCTGCTAATGCTTTTTGTTTTTAATCACAAGATCTAGTTTTAAAGTGAAACATCCAGAACCTGAGAACTGAGAATTGTGCTTAAATTCCATACCTTACATGTAGAGCCTTGGTCAAGTGATGGGTACTGTGGCTTAGCTTTTTCTTTTTTTAAGTTAAACTTTTTTATTTGGAGATAATTATGGATTTACATGCAGTTATAAGAAGAATGGAGTCTTGGTGTGGCATTGTGGGCTAATGCACTGGACTGCAAAGTCGTTTGAACCACAACGTTGGAGGTTTAAAATCACCAGCCGCTCCTTGGAAACCCTATACAGACAGGGTCACTGTGGGTCGGAAATGACTTGACAGCACTTAACAACAACAATAGAAAGAATAGAGACATCCTGTATACCATTTACTCAGTTTTCCCAATAGCAATGTTGTTCAAAACTTTAGTACAGTAGCACAACCAGGAATTTGACTGGACTGCTAACCACAAGGTTGGTTGTTCAAGCCCACAAACCACTCCTTGGAAACCCTATATAGAGTTGCTGTGAGTCAGAACCAAGTCGATGACACTTAACAACAACAACTCACTATTTTTTCTTTAAATATTACTCAATGAAATTTAATCCCATGTGTATGTTTGTGTATCCACCATCATAGTCAAGATACTAAAAAGTTGCATCCCCACAAGGATCCTTCATATTGCCCTTTTATAGCTAAACCAACTTCCCTCCTACTTCCCACTATTCTCAGTCCCTTAATCCCTGGCAATCACTGATATGTTCTTTCCTCTATAATTTTGTATTTTCAAGAATATTATGTAAGTGGGATCTACAATATGTAACCTTTTGGTATTGGTGTTTAAAAAAAACCTCATGATTCCCTTAAGATCCATGCAAGTTGTTGCATGTATCAATAATTCATTACTTTTAATTGATGAATAATATGCCATGGTATGGCTGTACCATAGTCTGTTTTACCATCCACCCATTGAAGCACATCTGTATTGTTTCCAGTTTTTTTTATTATAAATACAGCTGAAATGAATAGGTTCAGGCACAGGTTTTTGTGTGATCATAAGTCTTAATTTCTCTAGGATAAATGCCCAGGTGTGTAGTAGGTGGATCACATGTTAGTTGCATGTTTAGTTTTAGAAGAAACTACCAAACTGTTTTCCAGAGCACCTGTATAATTTTAAATACACACCAGCAATGTATGAGTTTCTCTGCATCCTTACCAACGTTTAGTGTTTTTAGTATTTTATTATAGCCATCCTGTTAGGTGTGTAATGATCTCACTGTGGTTTTAATTTGTATTTTCTTGATGAAAAATAATGTTGAACATCTTTGCATGTGCCATCAGTATATTCACTTAGCGAAGTTTCTGTTTGTTTTTTGTCCGTTTTCTAAATAGATTATTTGTTTTGTTGCTGTTGAGTTTTGAGTTGTTCTTAGATTCTAGATACTAGTCTTTCGTTTAAAAAAATGTTTTTATTGTGGATTGAGTGAAAATTTACAGGGCAGATCATCAGTTTTACATTCAACAAATCATAACCCCTTGTTTCATTACAATAATTATAATCCCCTCCATGTACCATCAATTAACAGTATTTCTCTCTATTCACTTTTGTTGTTGTTGTTGTTAAGTGCCATCGAGTCGGTTCCGACCCATAGCGACCCTGTACAGGGTTTCCGAGGGTGTAAATCTTTATGGGAGTAGAAAGCCTCATCTTTCTCCCGCGGAGCGGCTGGTAGTTTCGAACTGCTGACCTTGCGGTTCGCAGCCCGATTCGTAACCACTACGCTACCAGAGCTCCTATTCACTTTAGCTTTAAAAAAAACAAAAAAACAACAACACTCAGGCATATATAATAATTTACACCTCCAAAGAACACATTCTTTAAGTCGGCCTCCTGGCCAGCATCTCTTAGTCCCTCTCTTAGCATGAATGAAAGTCCTCAGCCACTCCCTTTCTCCATGTCCCCATCTCTGCCTCTTTCTCTGGCGTTGCTGTTTCTCTGGAAAAGGCCCTGCATTCTACTTGTGCTCTTCTCCCTTGCTGGTTTTAGGGTCCTCTGTTTCTGCACTGTAAGATTAACCACTCTCCTGTTTTTGTTATAAAACTTCTACCTTTACAATTGTGACAGTCGCAATTAGTCAAGATAACAATTATTCACTATTGAATCATCTGAATCTTATCTCCATCCCTTTTCACCAGACCTATCTAGATAAGATGAAAACTATTCAGTGAGGACTCTCCCATTCCCCCCACCCCACCCCCACACACTCTTAAACTAAATTCCCTCTTGAAACCTTGTAAGCCAGTCACTTTGTGCCTTTATCGCCCCCTCATTTTAGGTATCCAATGTCTAAGTTGCCCGTCCCTATCTACCCTGTGTACAGAGGGGTTAGCATTGAAACTTAATTTGAAGACTCCTTCCCTCTCTGTTGGTATTTTGAATTACTACCTACGTGAGTATAGGTGAGGTTCATCAAATTGTAGCAACTTACCCTTGTTTCCTTTATAAAAA